GTTGATCAGGCCTGGTCTTGAATCTGACCTCAAGTGATCTGCCCTACCTTGCTTCCCAAAGTGCGGGAATTACAGGTGTGAGCCCTGTCCCTGGCCCACGTCCCAAGCCAATTTGTGGGGCTGAGGAGGGTGGGTCGCTTGTGAGCCAGGAGTCCTGAGACGAGCCTTAGTTAACATGGTGAAAACCTCATCCTCAAAAAAAATACAAAAATCAGTTGGGCACGGTGACATGTGTCTGTAGTTCCAGTTTACTTCTTCTCGGGAAGAAATGAGGGGGAGGATTCGCTGAGCCCAGGAAGTCAAGTCTGCAGAGACCATGATGGTGCCATTGCAACTCCAACCTGGGTAAACAGAGTGAAGACCGTGTCTCAAAAAAAAAAAAAAAAAAAAATTCTCACCCAATTCCACAAATCAGATCCCTGTGAGGGTTCTCTCCAGAGACCTGTGGACCATATGTTGAGGCCCCAGTTTCGGTCCTGCTAGTGTTTCAGTCCCCTGGCTGGGGAGGAGGCGCTGGAGGTTTCTGGAAAGGTACAGGAAAACCCCCTTCCCCTTTTGCTAGCAAATAGCTGAGAAATCGTTCTGTTTTCAAGTGGCTTGCAAACAAGGAGTCCCTTAGCTTTCACGTTTGCCTATACCTCACCCAGCAGGGCCTAGTTGTATCCCATTAATGAACCTTCAAAAGCCCAACGCTCCCTCTCCCACTCCCAGTTTTTTCTTAATCCTTCAGACTGGTCTTTTGGGGGGCTGCTCCCACCCGGGCTTGCTGAAGACAAGCACCTGAGGACCTGTCCCCTGGGAGCTGCCTTCTCTGGGAAACGGGCCACAAAAGTATATCGGGCCAGCAAGAATGGGTAGGGGCGCTAGGGTTCACAGATGTTTCACAACCATCTGACTGAAATGAAAAAAACAAAAAAAAAAACAAGGCTTTACTGCCAGGGTATAAAAGAAGAGAAGCCCAGGCGGCGGTTCTTGAACGTCTTCTCTGCCAGAGCCTCTTAAGTGCTTGGCAGGACTAGAGATTTACCAGGAAAGCACTGAATCAAGGTGCTTTGGTGCAGCATGGTGGCCTCCAGGTTTGGCCCCTCTGAGCTCCCCTTTCCTGGCCCCATGCAGTCACTCCCCTAAGTCCTCGGGCCTAAGCCCAGGAGATTTGTCTATCCATTCTTCTGTTGATGGACATTTGGGTTGCTTCCAGTTTGGAGCTCCCTCTCAAAAAAAAAAAAAAAAGTGCTGGGACTGAAGGAGTGAGCCACTGCACCAGGCCTGGTGAGAATTTTTGTTTTTTAAGCTAGTTCTCTAAGATGAAAAACTCTCTTGGCATTTTTTTTTTCTTTTACAACTTTACTGAGGTATAATTAACTTACAATAAACTGCACATATTTAAAAATACAATTTGATATGTTTTGAGATTTGTGTGCGCCCATAAAACCACATCTTAATCAAGGTGTAGAATAGTTTCCATCACTCCTGAAATTTCCTAATACCCCTTTGTAACTTTTCCCTTCCTCCCCACCCCATCCCTAGGCAATCAGAGGAGAGCGTTAGGCTTTTTGAAGGTTCATTAATGGGAGTACAACTAGCCCTGCTGGGTGAGGATATAGCAAACGTGAAACTAAGGGACTCTTGCTTTGCAGCCACTTGAAAACAGAAAACTGATTTCTCATGCTATTTGCAGCAAAAGGGGAAAGGGGTTTTCACCTGTACCTTTCCAGAAACCTCCAGCGCCTCTCCCCAGCCAGGTGACTGAACACTAGCAGGACCGGAACTGGGCTCAACATTGGTCACAGGTCTCTGGAGAGACCCTCACAGGACTAGATTTGGTGAGAATTGGGTGAGAATTTTTTTTTTTTTTTTTTTTTTGAGACACGGTCTCACTCTGTTACCAAACCAGGCTGGAGTGCAGTGGGGCGATCTCAGCTCACTGCAACCTCTGCCTCCCGCGTTGAAGCAATTTTCTTGCCTCAGCCTCCTGAGTAGCTGGGATTACAGACGTGCCACATGCCAGGCTAATTTTTGTATTATTAGTAGAGAAGAGGTTTCAATGTGTTGGCCAAGCTGATCTTGAACTCCTGACCTCAAGTAATCTGCCCACCTTGTCCTCCCAAAGTGCTGGGATTATAGGCATGAGCCACCACACCCAGCTAATTTTTATTTTTTACTTTTTGTAGAGATGTATGTTGCCCAGGCTAGTCTTGAACTCCTGGTCTTAAGTGGTCCTCCTGTCTTGGCCCCCTAAAGTGCCGGGATTACAAGCATGAGCACCACGCCTGGCCTGGTCTGACTTCTTTCATTTCAGCATCATGATTCTGAGGCTCATCCAGGCTGCTGCACACATCAATAGTTCATTCATTCCATTTCATTGGTTCTTTTTCATTCATTGTACAAATATAGCACGATTTGTCTATCCATTCTTCTGTTGATGGACATTTGGGTTGCTTCCAGTTTGGAGCTATTACCAAAATGGCTGCAATGAACATTTGTGTACAAGTGTTTGTGTGGACATATGTTTTCATTTCTCTTGGGTAAATACCTAGAAGTAGGATGGCTGGGCCACATTCATGGGTTTTTTAATAGGCCCTGGGCTAGGCATGGTGGCTTACACCTGTAATCTCAAAACTTTGGGAGGCCAAGACAGGAGGACCACTTGAGGCCAGGAGTTCAAGACCAGCCTGGGCAACGTATGTCTCTACAAAAAATAAAAAAAAAAATAAAAATTAGCAGGGTGTGGTGGCACACACCTGTGGTCCTAGCTATTTGAGAGGCTGAGGCAGGAGGATCACTTGAGCCCAGGAGTTTGAGGCTTCAGTGAGCTACGATTGTGCCCCTGCACCACTCTTAGCCTGAGTGAAAAGGCAAGACCCTGTCTCAAACAAAACACAACGGGTCCAAAAGAGTCCTGGGCTTTCTGCCTAGACTGAGGAAGGAGCATGGAGCCTGACGTTCCTGTTCCCATTTCAAACACAGCAGCAGCTCCAAGAGGATCCTCAGATATTTGCTTCCTCTATCAGCTTTTCTTGAAGAAAGGTTTCCACAGTCAAGAAGAGAAAAGTTTGAAATTCAAATTCTCCTTCTTACTCTCCCCAGCCCCATCATTTTATAGATGATGAAAACCAAGTTTGCCATAGCCCATGGCCAAGGTTAGTGGACTAGATGCTAAGCCTGCACTTCCCAGACCTGGGTTTAGGCCCGTGACCATGGCCTCTTGAAGTCATCATTTTTAGCTTTGGGGGAGTGAAGAAGCTGCTGGAAGTATCAGGCTGGCATCAGATAGAATCACGTCTCAAATATGTAGACGTTTCCTTTAGAAACACATGAAGCCGGACACAGCAAACAATTGAGGCCAAGGGGTCAGGAAGGCACTGCTAGGGGGCTTTCCAGAGCTGTAAAGTGGTCTTCCAGGGAGTCCCAGTGGACCCACTCCCTGCTCCGCTAGTATCTGAGCCAAACAGTGCTGGAGGGGACCGGTGATCAGGCCTGTCTTTTGCCCTCCAGGAGAGCGAGAGAGTGAAGGATTCTCAGGGCCCAGCCTCACGTCACTGCTCCTACAAGGAAAATGTAAGGCTCTTCCTCCAGGCCCTCCTGCCTGGCAGGCTCCTAGGCACTACATCCTGAGGACAGGGGATGAGCTAGCTTGCCTCAGTTTACCCAACTGTCTGAGGTGAGTTGCAGCATGGTGGCCTCCAGGTTTGGCCCCTCTGAGCTCCCCTTTCCTGGCCCCATGCAGTCACTCCCCTAAGTCCTCGGGCCTAAGCCCAGGAGGAAGCCCTGACTTGTCTTTGCGTAAGTCACTCCATTCACCCCGGTTTTGCACCCCTAATCCTGGCTGCACGTCTCTTTGCTGGAGCTCCATTTCCCCTTCGAGGGCCGCTTTCTTGATCCAGACACAAGGCTCCTCCATAGTGTCCTGCTGTCTGGCTCCCTAGCAAATTGAGCAACTGCTAACTACACACATCCCTTGGTCCCACCTCAACAGCTGACCCACCGTGAACCTCTGAGGTCGGGAGTCCAAAGCCTGCCTTTTTAATAAGATCCCCAGGTGATCCTGATGCCTGTAAGAGTTAGGGGCCCCTCATTGCTTCTGTCTTTGGCCAGCATTGGCATTTTCATGAGGGAATGAGAAAGACAAAAAGGCTCGAGCAGCCCGAAGGCCGTCAGGGCAGAGCTTCAGTCAGCTCACTGGGTGAGCGGAGGGGTGGCGAACTGGCTGCACACGTGACCCGAAATCCAGCAGGTGTGGCCAGGGCTGAAAGGCCAGCCCTGGGCTCCATCACCCTGGGTTCAGGCAGCAGCTCAGCGTGGTGAAAACTGAGCCATGTCCTTACCTGGGAAGCTGTGTCTCCATCCTGGGAGTCAACTCCACTTTGTATGTTTCTCTAAGTCTGGTGACGAGGATTTCCTAATTTTGTACAGCACGTGTACTTTTCACCGCAGTACTTCATTGTCTCTCCCCAGAATGAGGTATCATATCTCCACTTGACAGGCACGGAAACTGAGATGCAGGAGGCAAAAGTCACAGATGACAACGGGGCCCCGAGGAGGGTGCTAATGCCTGGGGACGGACCCGGGTCTGTGGGTTGAAGGCTGGAGTTTTGGCTCTGCTACTACCAGGAAAAGGTGGTTTCTTTCACTCCCCAAAATCATCTTCAGCTCCAAGGACCCTTCTTCCCAAGAAACCTGAAAAACAACAAAGGGACTTTTCACTCGCTTTCTTAACACTGTCCACGACAAAGGCTGGTAGAAACTTTTATTGTCATTCCAAAAAAGACGGGAGGCAACCAGCAGCAGTTCCATTGCCCATGTCAAGGATTTGCTGGTTATAGAACTCATGACTGAAGGGCTCATCTGAATATTTTGCCAAATAATTATAACTCAATTTATTTCCTGAATCACACTAAAGAAATGTGGAATGAGGAAGGGGGAGCATCAGGCCAGTCTGTTGTTTCCCTGTGTGGAAGCAGGCTTATCCTTGGCTTGTAGAAATCAATTATTCAACTGGAATTTCATTTCATTTTGACACATATTTATTGAGTACATATATTTACTATGTGCCAGGAAATGTATCAGAAACTCAGGAATAAAACATATTATGCCCTAGTCCCTGCTCTCAAGGAGTTACAGATGAGGCAGAAGAGAGAGGTGAGGTCACACGAGACGTGCAGGTTCGAACTTGATCTTGAGAGCAATAGGAAGCCCCAGAAAGGCTTATACTGGAGATGGCCTGGCCATAGTTCTGTTGCTGAGCACAATCTGGGAGTCAGGCATAATTCAGCTACCAGGAGCTGCCTCTAGCAAGACAGGACCAAATGAGGCACACGTGCGAGAGACGTACAAGCCATCTGATGTGACAGTCAAGATGTTAGCCTGGGCCGGGTGCAGTGGCTCATACCTGTAATCCCAGCACTTTGGCAGGCTGAGGCAGGTGGATCACCTGAGGTCAGGAGTTCGAGACCAGCCTGGATAACATGGCGAAACCCTGTCTCTACTAAAAATACAAAAATTAGCTGGGCATGCAGGTGCATGCCTGTAATCCCAGCTATTTGGAAAGCTGAGGCAGGAGAATCATTTGAACCTAGGAGGTGGAGGTTGCAGTGAGCCGAGATTATGCCACTGCACTCCATCCTAGGCGACAGAGCCAGACTCCATCTTAAAAAAAAAAGAAAAGAGAGAAAAAAAGTCTGATTTATTCTCATTGGAGGATTCAGAGAAGGCTTCCTGGAGGGGGTGGCATTGAAGCTGAGCCTTGAAGGGTATGGTGGTTTGGATGCGCAGAGGGGAAGGAGGCAAGCTTAGAGGCCTGAAAGTGGAAGACCAGCCTTGGAAACAAGCAGTCCAGCAGAGCGGTCTGCTGAGGGGGGAAGGGGTTGGGGAGGGAGGAGGGGGAGGGGGAGGAAGCGGTTAGGACAGGACTGCACAATGCTACTAGCACGCTGAGGATCTGTGGTTTTTTGTGTAGGGAGAGGTGTGCTCGAAGCTGAAGCTTATGCGTGGCCCTAGCAGAGTTCTGGCACCTGGCAAGCCACCCAGGTGACACTGGTGCATGACTTACTTGAAGGGGTTCCGGAAAACTGATCCTTGCTCCTTCCCACACTCAGGCCCTTCCTCGGGTCATCTCTGAGAGAAGCAGAGCACCAAGGGCCACTAAGCTGCATGCTTTCTGCATCCCTACCCCCTTCACTCAGGAAGATCAGGTTATCCAGGGTGCAGAACTTGGCAGTAATGAATATTTATTGAATGAATAAAGGAATCTATAAATGAATGAAAACATAATTGAAAACTTCAAAGGGAAGTCACAAAAGGATTGTGTGTGTGTGTGTTTGTATTTGTGTGCACTCCTACCCTTTGCCTTGGCGCGTGGGCCTGGGAGTGCTTCGGAGGGAGGGAGAGCAGGCTGTGACTGAGCAGAAGCTTCGGGGTGCTTCTCCAGCAGCTCCATCTCCATTTGTGCTTTTCCCATACACAGTTCCCCACTGCCAGTCTCCACACACAGGGCCAAATCTGGATTCCCTGACACTGGCAGACACTCCATCCCGGCCCTGGGACTGAGCCACATTCCAAGGCTGTGAGGACTCTGCTGTCTCTCGCATGGGCAGCAAGGGACTCGCTAGAGAGCCATCCAGGTCTCTCCAGCCGTTAGTGCCATTTTTCCCTACAATCCACTTCCTACTGAGTCCCTGTGTGAGTCCCAGCCAGAGCCTCAGCCCACCCAAGCCATGCCAGTTCCTCCCTCATCGCCCTAAACTCCCCAAGCCCAGTCCCTGCAAGCTCGCTTCAGTGCAGGCTGAGGACAGAGGGCCACACCGCCTCCTTCCGTGGGTTCCTCCCTAATCTCACACTCGTACTTCACAGCCTCAGAAGGCAGCAGAGAGCAGCTGTTCCCGTGCAATCAGGCAGGACCAGAGAGGAACCCCAGATCCTTTCTCACCCTCTCAGAACCTCATCTGTAAATGGGAATGGTGATTACTTACCTCACAGGATTAGAAAGACCAAATGGCATTATCCTACAAGAGAAGTGGTTACCAATTCAGTCCACAAACAGTGATTTTTTCCTTATCTTTTCCTTTAAATTAACTCAATTCTGACTCCCAGTTTCTGCTTTAGATGCAGCAATCTGGAAAGAACATTGCTCACACCTTTACAACAACAAAAAAGCTGAGAACCTGCAAGTTTAGAACTCTCATTGAAGCTATCAGAGAGCTCAGGTGCAGCCAACTAGCCTGAAATCTAAGAAGAGACAGGTGCCCACAGGAAGAGATGGGGCGTGAACACTGGTGCACCTGGGGCCCCGCAGACGCACAGCAGTAAGGATTCAGCTGGAATACTTAACTGGTAGGGACGGAGTGTGGGTGGGCAAGAAAGTGGGAAGTCCGAAGCAAGAGTCTGCACCCTTTTCCAGGCTTTCCCCCACGACCCCAGGCGGGTGGGGGAGGGTATGAGAAAGCATCCCTCATGATACAGGCCTGAGGGACTGGGACAGCAGCCACGGCAGGAGGGACACAAAACCCCTCCCAGATGTTTCTCCCCCAACTTCCCTATGGATAAAAGCTTTGATCTCCAGGGGAAAAGGCAACACCATTGCCATAAGGGCACCAGTGGAAACCCTTTAGACCTGGAGTAAGGGGAGAGAAAGAACCTGTACCCTGGGGGAGGAGCAGGAATGTGTTCCAGGCCCAGAACTACACACCAGCTCCACACCACAGCCGTCAACAGAACGGAACAGCATCTACAGAACCAGATACAACACAGACACTGAAACTACCTGACAGGGAACTTAGCCATGATGAATATATTAAAGGCTCTGATGGAAAAGAAGGACAATATGCAAGATTAGAAAGGTCCTTTCCGCAAAAATACAGAAACTATATGACAGAATCTAATGGAAATGCTGGAAATGAAAACACAGTAACAGAAATAATGTTTTCCATGAGCTCATTAATAAAGTTGACACAGCTGAGGAAATAAACAGTTAAAGATAATGCTATAGAAATTACCCAAACTGAAACACAAAAGACTGAGGGAAAAACAGAACAGAACATCCAAAAGCTTCGGGACAATATTAAAGATCCTAATATACATGTAATTACAGTCCCAGAAATAAATTAAAGAGAATAAGGTAGGAGAAATATTTGAAGAAATGATGGCTGAGAATTTTCCAATAATCATGACAGACACGAAGCCACAGATCCATAAAGCTCAGTGAATACCAGGTTAAATAACACCAGAAAATACACATACACATCTAGGCATACCATATTACAACTGCTGAAAATAAAAAAGAGAATATCTTGAAGGCAAATATAGAATAAAAAACACATTATATACAGAGGAACAAAGAATTATAGCAGATCTCTTGTCAGGAGCCATGCAAGTCAGAAGATGATAGAGTGACAGCTTTAAAACACTGAAAGGAAAAAGAAACAAACTATCAACCAGAAATCTACACCCAGTGAAAATCGCTTCCAAAATAAAGGAAAGATACAGACTTTCTCACACAAAAACAGAGAATTCATTGTCAGCAGACCCACAACACAAGAAATTTTAAAAGAAGTTATTCAGGTACAGGAACATGATACAGAAATAAAACTTGAATTTGCATAAAGAAATGTAGAAGGCTAGGCGTGGTGGCTCACGCCTGTAATCCCAAGAGTTTGGGAGGCTGAGGCAGGAGAATCGATTGAGGCCAGGAGTTTGAGGCTGCAGTGAGCCGTGATCACACCACCGCACTCCAACCTGGACAGCAGAGCAAGACCCTGTCTCCAAAAAAAAAAAAAAAAGAAAGAAAGAAAGAAAAAGAAAGAAAACAAAGTAATGGAAACAAAATAATTAATGGTAAAATAAAATTCTTTCTAAAAACGCTTAATTATTCTGCTCACCCCTATAATCCCAGCAATTTGAGAGGCCAAGGCTGGAAGATTGCTTGAGTCCAGAAGTTCAAGACCAGCCTGGATAACAAAAGTGAGACCCCCATCTCTATAAAAATAAAAAAGTTAGCTGGGCATGGTGGCACGCATCTGTGGTCCCAGCTACTTGGGAGGCTGAGGCAGAGGGATCGCTGTGTCCCAGAGGTCAAGGCTGCAGTGAGCTGCATTCAGACCACTGCACTCCAGCATGGGCAACACAGTGAGACCCTGTCTAAAGAAAATATGCTTAGTTGGGGCCGGGCACGGTGGCTCACACCTGAAATCCCAGCATTTTGGGAGGCTAAGGCAGGTGGATCACGAGGTCAAGATATCAAGATCATCCTGGCCAACATGGTGAAACCCCATTTCTACTGAAAATACAAAACAATTACCTGGGCGTGGTGGTACACGCCTATAGTCCCAGCTACTCGGGAGGCTGAGGTAGGAGAATCACTTGGACCTGGGAGGCAGAGGTTGCAGTGAGCCGAGATCGCGCCACAGCACTCCAGCCTGGCAACAGAGTGAGACTCCATCTCAAAAAAAAAAAGAAAGAAAGAAAGAAAAGAAAATATGCCGTTACTCTGGAAGATAAATATTTTTGCCCAAAGCAAAACTAGAGACATCCTACCTGTTTCTGGGGCTGGCAGTTATCTCCTTTTGCCTCCCAGGCCCAGCTGCTGCTGAGTCCTGCGCTATTCTCTTTCTTCTCAGCTTTCCTCCCTCACTTCTCGTGCTTTCCCTAAGAATTAAGGGCAGGTGTTTGGGGCCATATTGACC